GCCCCAGCCCGGCCTGGGCCGCGGGGCCCGGCGGCTCCCTCGCCTCGCCGCGGCCTGGCGCGGCAGCAGAGGGCCGCCTCTCCGGCCTGGCCCGGCCCCTGCCCTTGTCCCGGGGAAGGCGGACGCGGTGGCCGGCACAGGCCCGGACGGGCTCCGGCGCTGCCCGAGACCGACTGCCCCTCTTGGTGCGCGGCTGTGGAAGCACGGCTCCGGGCAGAAGCAGCGCCCGGGCCGCTGTGTCGTTTGATGAGGTGTGGCGAGTGGCCGAGCAGGCACACGACGCCTCCTGTCCCGGGGAAGGTATTAACGTCACAGCGTTAGTGGAAGAGTAAACACAGGGGAGGTCAGGCCGCGGCTGAGGCAGCGGTTGTGCTCTGCTCTCAGATGCTCCAGGAAGAACTCGGTCCTGCCGCACAGCAGCTGGCCGCCGGTATGATCCCCCCCAAAGCCAGGGGCCTGGGCCCCCGGTGTCAAGAAGAGCCGGTCAGTTTTCAGAAAGCAAGTGTTTTCATGTCTGACCGCTCATCTACCAAGAGATCATCCTGCCCTGCCTGAATGTCTGACAGAGGACAGTAGCCACCACAACCAGCCCAGCCCTGTTGCTGTGTTGCTATCTTGATTAACAAGATGCTAATATTTTTATTAAATATAGTTTTAAATAGTGTGTAACTGATGTTTCTGTTTACAGATGCTGATTGTATTGGCAGTGTAACTCATGACTTTGCTTTTGTTTCTTTTCATACAAATGTTTCCTGTGTTGTTAGGTCTGGCCCTTGCTGGAGGTTATTTTTAGGATGATTTAGTTCTCTTTATTTTAAGTGCGCTCTAGACTTCTGAAACTTCTTTTGGTGCACAAAGCCAGCGCTACAGACAGTGTATAAACCAGGTGGTTTAAAACCTGTTGACCCACTCAGCCACACGTTAGCCTGACGTAGCTGTAACCTTAGTTTCAAAACCTAAAGTGAGAATTCAGGGAGGTGTAGGCTCCAAATGCAATGCTTGAGCTGCTGGTTTTGATGTTACATTTAAAATAGCATTCTGGTGGCCGCCTCCAATTTTGACCATAGAAAAATCCCTGAGGCCTGCAATGTACCAGATGTTTGGGGTTACTGGAGACAAGAGCATTTGTTCTTAGCTTTCTGTATGGGTGACAAACCAGAAATTCATACGGGTAAACGCTAGCCTTAGATTTCTTTGAATGTCTCGCTGTTCTCTGAGGTGGAGGCTCCAAGAAAGATCTCTGCAGCAGGTGTGGACACAGTGAAACCAGCAGCTGTGCCTTGAGGTCGTGGCTCTCAGGCAGGCACTATATTGGGTGTCGTTCACTGACTTCTCGTCCTTACTCTCCTCTGAGGAGCAGAGCACGTGCAAGATGAGCCATGGATACTAGCAAATGCCTTGCAGAGCCTCCGCGGGCGCGCTGTCCTGGTGGCTGCCACCTTATAGTAGTGGATCATCACAGGACTAATTGCAATATTAGCTCTATTGATGGTGCAGATGGTGTTGCCTTGTGCCTGGTAAGAGGTGTGTTGAAGTAGAGCAAAACATTGCAGCCTCCACTGAGGTGCACATCAGGCCTGTATGGCCCTGTTGTGTGGCTGCTCTCTGCCTGCCTCCTTCCTTTTGCCGCTGTCACCTTCCCTTACTGTGTTGCAACATAAGTACAATGTAAGACACCACATGAGCAACACTGTGTTTTTGGGAGTCTCTTCTGGAGGGAGGTCAGAAACAGTAACCGTCAGTTTACTGAAAAGTATCTTGAGTTTGCTGTTCATAAGAAGGTCTAAGTAGCACTCCAGGGCTTGTGTGGGAGAGGGACCTTTCCCACCATGAAGCAGTCAGGGGCACTGGATTTTAGGAGAGTGCAAGCACTGCAAGAGCATGCAAAACCAGTGGGAGGAACTCCAGGTGTCGGTAGCTGTTGTACATCTGGTAGGTTGTGTACTCTACTGGCCTTTACGTTTGTACTTATATTCCTAAACACTTTTTCAGTAAATCTGCAGATCCAGATACAGGAGATGGAGAGCTCCCAACAAGAGTGAATATTTTTTCCTGGTTCCATCTTGTGTATGCGTATAAAATAATCCACATAAACCTGCAAGGGTTTTGTTCTTCCAACTTACAGACTTACGCCTGGAGACAGAGTTCAGTGCCTGGTGCATGATCTTATTGCAATGAAAAATGAAGAGGTGGACCAGCTAGCAGCTGTGTATGGGTAGCCCTGAGTGCTTGCCTTAGTTTGTGAGGACATCTATGTTGATTCACCCAAGCTCCACTAAACTACATTCCTAACTTCTGACTGATGGCAGTGTTGTTGGCAGGTTTTCAGCTCGTTAGTCTCCTCTGACTAGATGTTGATGTTCGTGTTTGCAACCCTGAAATTTCATGTCTGTCTTGCACGTCTGTTACTAATAGACTGTATTTTTGCCTGATATTGGATGGCTGCTCTTGTAGCCACCGTGATGAAAGAGTAGGTACCACAGGCTTCCTGCTGTGAGGTTTAAGTAGATAGTGGTGTTGCCTGTAGCTTTAGTAAAACATGACAAGTAAAGTATGGTGAGATGTGACTCAGTATGAGAACATTTTGGATAGGGTGCAAGTTTGAAGCAGAGTACAGGCGGTGCTCTTTTGAAAGTTACAGTAATGGGGGTGTCATGTTTTCCTGTTGTCTTGGAGCAGTCACATAAATGTTTTTCCTTTTTTTTTTTCTCTATAAAGCAAAAGCTGGCAGGCTGACAAACAGGCAGCTTACAGGACGGACTCTCTGGCTACTGACCATTTAGCTGGTAAGTTCTTATTTTGGCGAGCCAAAGATCTTGCTGTTGCTGAGCTTGCTTATCAGAGCGGCTTTCTGAGTGTATCCCTAAGTAGCAGGAGTTCATGCACCTAAATAAGTCTTTTTCAGGAAGAGGCAGCATCCTAGGTCCTTTTGGTTTTTCTCCCCAGGGTTGCACAACGGTCTTGGACTGACTATCCAAACCTTTGGATAGTAATTTAAAAATTGCACACCATTAATAATTGACAGATTAATTAGAGTATGCTTTAACAACTTCTGATGTCCCCATTTTCAGTGACCTTCTTAGGTTGCACATCCTCTGCCTGCTTAATAAAGAGCTTAATGAGGAGCTCTGGTCTGGCGACCACTGTGCTTTGAGGAAATATCCCCCCTGAATTCCTTTCTGGTTCAGCAAGAGCTGACCTGGCAGTGAAGGTGCTTTTCAAAAAGCTGACTGAAAAAGTGCTCAATAACACATACTTGGTCTTCCTGGAGCGACTTTTGTGGATTTGGAATGGTGTTGGTAATAGTGCTGCCACCTCTGTCTCTTGCAGTGGCATAACCGGATTGTGTGTGGGTGGGAAGTCGACAATGAGCTCCGTGGCAGTTTTGACCCAGGAGAGCTTCGCTGAACACCGCAGCGGCCTGACTCAGCAGCAGGTGAAAGGTGAGAAAACACAGCTGAGTTCCTGTGATGTGCCTCTGAGTACAAACTGCACAGGCCAGGTTCCTTGCTGTTACCCAAGCTCGCCTCGCACGTCTGGTTCCCCACAAGTGTGCAGATGTTGCATTCTCCATTCCTAGATTGGCAGCCCACCAAACTCTGCCTTTCCACCAGCAGCAGCGCAGTGGTGATGCTGCACAGTGCGCAGGCAGGAGGGGGCAAGCCTCAGATCTCCACAGAGCTCTGGCTAGCAATGCTGTCATCTATGGGATGGGGCACATGCAAGAGTGGGGCACTGGGCTACAAGAGAGCCTCATGGGATCGGTGTACTGGGCTGTCATTTCCTTCCTTTGCTCAGCAAGGTGCTGGAGAAAGTAATTGTATTTGTATTAACTAACCCACTGATGGGTTTTGGCACCCATCTTGCAGCTGCAACATGGCTGACTTGGCGTGGCATGGTGCACAACTGAGTTGAACATAAGATACAGGCTTTCCCTGGACCCTGCTCTAACTATAATGCTTCTTCCTGGGTGTATGCTTATCTTATCCCTGTCTGACCTGCAGCCTCGCTTGGTTCCTTTAATTCATTTCAGCTCAGCCTGTTCTCCTCTCTTGACAAAGTTGGAAGTAATGTGCTGCTTGCTGCCACCATTCGCTTTCACGTTTGCTTCCTGAATCCGTAGTGCCTGCTCAGAGAGGCTGGTTGGTCATGGCATCTGCTGCAGTCTGTGCTGTGCTGAGGTCAGCTGTGCTCCAGACTTGGCTGCTCCGCAAGCATAACTGTAATGGGATTAACACTAGTGCACAAGTCATTTGCTCTCCCTTGTTAATGGTGCCTAAATACAATTGTACTGCCTATGAATTTCTGCAGGGAGAACATCTCATTTACCCTGTTTGTTTCACTCCAGTTACAGCTTTAAACTCTGAAGAAGAGAATGATCCTCCAACCTACAAAGAAGCCTTCCCTCCGCTCCCCGAGAAAGCACCATGTTTGGAAGCTGCCCAGGAACCTGCTGGGCCCTGGAGCAAAATCCGACCAATAAAGGCTTCTGTCATCACTCAGGTTGGTGGGAGTTGGTGTCTTAGCTCCCTCCTTTTCCTCCTTTCAAAAAGTAGGTGAGGAGAAGTATGGAGTATGAAATCCTTAGTGTGTCAGATGGATGGCCTCTACCCTGGGGTACAAGGAGGACTGCATCTAAGAGCTAAGGACTGCTCTGGAGGGGAGGGATGTGTTGGAAAACTGCCCAGAAAAAGCTCTCCATCTCTGTTCCACAAATAGCTGCAGGATTGCAGAATTCAAGTAGTGAGTGGTAATCTATTAAAGTATTCCCCCTATAGCTTAGCACTTCTGCCCACCCAGTGTGGAACAGATTGCCTGCTGCAGCGCTCTCGCACTTTCCCAGCTCACATCTGGTGTCTCCACTGGAAGGGCTGATGGGTGGCACTAACCTAGGAACTCAGCATGCCAGGAAACCTGCATGGCAATAAGAGAGGGAGGCATTAGCAATCAAAAACATACTGACTGCTTGCTGTGCCATTCTTCTATCTGTCCTGCGGCTGAGCAGGTGTTTCATGTGCCACTGGAGGAGAGGAAATACAAGGACATGAATCAGTTCGGAGAAGGCGAGCAGGCCAAGATCTGCCTCGACATAATGCAGAAGACAGGAGCTCACCTGGAGCTGTCTCTCGCAAAGGACCAGGGCCTTTCCATCATGGTCTCTGGCAAGCTCGAAGCGGTCATGAAGGCTCGGAAGGAGATTGTCGCTCGGCTGCAGACTCAGGTGAGGGCATCTAACTGTTTCTCACTTCATCTTTGCTCTTCCCCAAGACTTGCAAATGCTTTGAGACCCTTGGGTGTGTGTGCTTATAAGCCAAAGAGTTGTTATTAGATGACTAATTCAGCTTTGCCATGTATTTTCAAAGCACACAATTGGCAATTTGGAATACAGATGAGGCTTAAAATAGGGTTCAAAGCTAATTACAGGCCATGGTGTTGCACGAAGGGTGGAGTCTGCAATCTCTGAACACTTGAATTGCAAACAGTGACTTTGTGCTGGTGCTGGAGGAGGTGCAGGCCCCTCACACAGAGCTAGTAGTGTGTGAGAACAGGACTGTGCTTTCTCTGAAGTCCTTCAGAGGAGAATGTGGAGGGATGGGAGAAAGAAAAGTAGAGAAGAGGAAGCCCTAACAAAAGCTGAAAGCTTCAGGTCAGGGTTCTGGATTGTGAAACTCAAGCTACACTGGTAAGGAGCTACAGCCCCATTGTTTCAGCTGCTTCTCCTTTCAGTCCTCTAGGTTTTGATTTCTTACCATCAGATTCTTGAGTTCATAATCAAGGTGATAGTTCTGGTTAGGATATATCACAGCCAGGTGTCTTAGTGTGTTTTAAAGTGTAATGTCAAGGGTAGTTTATGGAGTAGTTAATACCATGTCTGCTTTGCGATGTTCAGCCCATGTGTCATACCCTGCCAGAGGGAAGAGAAAGGGACAAACCCTTCATAATGTGCATCTGAAAAAATAGCTCTTAGGCTTGGCTGGCTTCAGTACAGGAACACAGAGTTGAAGAGTCACACCAACTGTTTTGGTTTGGTTTTTTTTTTTCCATTGTAGTTTGGCTTTTAATGTCTAATTGCAGTTAGTAGTTACATACTGACAGGGACGGAGAGCATGGTAGCGATCATAAGCTACGAGGTCAGTAAAAAACTCAGAAGAAAAGTAATCAGGAATCCCTGATACAAACCAGCCCTTTAGTGATAGATTGAGAGAAGCTCTTGGGACCCCTTTTCTAAGAGGGGCCTTTTAAGAAACAGTCTCAGGAGCAGCATGTGCTACATTGAAAACACCTTAGCACTTAGTAGATGTAAGCAACTCTGAGCTGTCTGCCTGCTGGAAGAGGTTTCTGGTGTTGAATTTCTGTGTGTCTTGTTCTCTGTAGCCTTGGTAGCAGATATCAGAGTTCAGATAAACTCCACCCATGAGCCATCATCTCAGTTGCTGTCTGGTGCTGCTCCAGTGTCTTACACTGGAGGATAAGTACTTCCTGGTTTGTGCCTAAAGCTCTTGCTAATTCAGAGTACTACTCCTGTGCAAACAGAAGGGTTTTGAGGGAAATGTGGTTTTCAACTCCTGGTAGACAGGCACTGTAAATCAACTGTTCTGGTGTACAGTCTCAGTCCTCTGACAGAATGTGATGGGAAGACATTGTGTTTGCTCCTGAGTGGTACCACTAAGCAGCATCTAACTTGCTTTCCCTGGCTCTGTTCCTGTCGATCTACCAGTGCAGGCAAATGTTCTCATAGATGCTTGGTTCCTGTGTTGCAGGCTTCAGCGACGGTTGCCATCCCCAAGGAACACCACCGTTTTGTCATTGGAAAGAATGGCGAGAAACTGCAGGACCTGGAGCTCAAAACTGCAACCAAAATCCAGATTCCCCGCCCAGATGACTCCAGCAACCAGATCAAGATCACCGGCACTAAGGAAGGGATTGAGAAGGCCCGGCACGAGATCCTGCTTATCTCTGCTGAGCAGGTACTTCAGTACGGTCATCTTTCTCGTGGTGTTAGCTGGACAGCCGTTTTTCCTTCTCCATGGTATATTAGATGTTTGTAACACCATGGCAACAGTCAGCTGTCTAGTATGTTATATGAATTCGAGACATATACTGTGCCACTGGCTGCACGACCACTTCTGCCAAGTTCTGCAACTTCTGGTTCTGCGTTTTGTCTGTCTCTGAAGTCAGATAAGTGTATTTCCTATTTGAAGTGAACCATTTTAGGTGCCAGCTGAGATAAGGCAGGAGATTAAAGAGGTGAATATCATAAATGAGCAGCAGCAACAGCAGTGTTTGTAGATGGAAAAGGATGGAGATCTATGAGCCTGCAAACTGAAGAGTGCTTGGGCCAGAGTGTCAAGCAGGACAGCACTGTGAGGAGCTTAGCTGTATCTGGCAGAGACTACAATATGGAAGGAATTTCCCACCAAGGTCTGTTCTGGGCTCTTCCAGGATAAGCGTGCTGTGGAGCGGCTGGATGTGGAGAAAGTGTACCACCCCTTCATTGCTGGCCCTTACAACAAGCTGGTGAGTGAGCTCATGCAGGACACAGGGACGCGCATCAACATCCCTCCACCTAGTGTCAACAAAACAGAGATAGTCTTCACAGGAGAAAAGGAGCAGCTAGCCCAGGCTGTGGCTCGTGTTAAGAAGATCTATGAGGAAAAGGTATGGATGGTCAATAAAGCATCCTATATTCCCCTCAGCTGGTCATAGTCCCTCTTCTCTTCTTGTTCTGCTTCTGGGCATCCCTCTGTTGCATCCTCCTCATATCAGCTCTGGCTCAGCAGCCCTTTCAGTATATGGCCTTGGATCTTACCATTTCCTCACTCAGCAGAGTGGGACTTGGGGTGATATTACCAAGAAGGTGACACATTTCTCACTTTTCTAGCAGACCACAAAGAGCTCCGCTGGCTCTTGTTCACACAGGTGCTACTAAGGAAAGAAGTCTACAGCAGTGGCCAGCCAACAGTATCAAAGTTGCTGCATTAGTAGAAGTTGCTGAGGAGTGCATTTCACTCCAGTTTATTTCCCACAGCCAACATTGCTGTGAATATCCTAGTTGTGGGTTGGTTGTTGGGCTGGTTTTCTGCATTGTTAGGTCTGTATTTGTACCAGTCTGGATTTCAACAGAGATAATCAGCTTATAACCTAGTAGCCTACATGATGTTGCATTACAGTACTGCCTGGGGAACAGCTGGGCGTTGAGCCTGTTGTGCAAGAGTGTTGTGTCTGTGGTCTCTCCCATGTAGTGTCCCAGGGAGCTTGACACAATACTAGTTTTGTACTTCACCTGTGAATTTTTGAGCTCAAGGCTCTCTGTAGGCATAGGCCCAAAGGGTGGTAGGGTACTGCAGAACCACTGTGCTCACCTTTGCTTTGCCTGTTCCTGGGTCCAGAATTTCACTGCATCTTGTGCCTCTTCCTTTCACTTTTGTCCTTCCCTGCCCCCTTGCGATTGATGCCCCAGTGCCTCTGCCCCTACAGAAAAAGAAGACTACTACCATTGCAGTGGAGGTGAAGAAGTCCCAACATAAGTATGTCATCGGCCCCAAGGGGAATTCCCTGCAGGAGATCCTGGAGAAAACTGGAGTCTCTGTTGAGATCCCACCCACTGACAGTAGCTCGGAGACGGTGATACTGCGAGGCGAGCCTGAAAAGCTTGGGCAAGCATTGACTGAAGTCTATGCAAAGGTACTGTTTTACTGAAGTCTATGCAAAGGGCTAGGCCTTCTTTGAAAGTCCCGTAGAGATACATCCGTGAGCACTGGCAGGTTTGGGGGGAGTAGCCTCTGTTGGGCTGTTAGAGATGAAGCTTAGAAATCAATACTGAGGGTGCAGCATGGGAATTGGAACCGAATTTTTGTGAAGACCTCTTCTAGTTTGCCCATCAAACAGCTTCTCTGTTTCTCTGTCTCTCAGGCTAACAGTTTTACCGTCTCCTCGGTCTCTGCCCCCTCTTGGCTTCATCGTTTCATTATTGGAAAGAAAGGACAAAACCTGGCCAAAATAACTCAGCAGATGCCAAAGGTATGGATGAGTTGATTAGCTTAGCACCCTTTGATGTAAAATATGGTTTAGTCCAGATCACTCTTTGTGGAAGAGAGAAATGTATTCTAGCATGGGTAAAACCAGGGAGGAAATGACACAGATCTTAATATTAAACTGAGCCTCTCTTTTGCTGCTGCAAACACCACTCATCCTATGTTATTCTCGTGGATTGAGCCCTTTAAAGGAAGCTTTATGTGGTATTATTTTGAGAATAGATGTGATAGGACACCTGCAAATTCTGACTTCAATGAGGCTTCTCCCTGGTGAGTTAGATGATATCTAGAGAAAGGCTAGGTGAGTAACTTTTCCAAGCCCTTGCAGCCAGCACCAAAGCCTTTGGCTCTAGACACTGTGATATGGCCTGAATTGTAAGTGACCTACTTCTGAAACCATGGGAATGATGTGTGTACTTTGTGGGAAGGAAACAATCTCTTCGTGGCTGGGATTGCTGGTGTAGGCCTGACTAACAACATTGAGCTGGCTTGTATCTTGGAAAATTCTTACTGGCCTCATGGCTTTGTATCTCAAGGTTCACATTGAATTCACTGAAGGAGAGGATAAAATCACTTTGGAAGGACCTACAGAAGATGTAAACGTGGCTCAGGAACAGATTGAAGTCATGGTCAAGGATCTGGTAAGTTGGTGTCACTAGTTCCAGTACAGAAGAAAGCGAGGGAAGAATGGGCAACAAAGCAGAGATGATGTGTGTGTCGTGATGTGTAATATGGTGTCTTGACGTGCTTAACAGAACTTGCAGAAGACAAGTTGTATGGCAGATGGATGAAACCCTTGGTTATGACGCTCCCCCATAGCGTTCTTTAAAAATTAGCAGCAGGTCTTAAATCTTCTAACGCCAAGCAGGAAAGTTCCTCTTTCAGTTGTAGCTGCAGAAGCATATAATTCCCTTTAAACATTTCCCAAGCATGTTGCTCTCAGCTCAAGCAGAGGAGTGCTTCTAGCTGACTACTGGAGAATCAGTGCCAATACTGGCAGTAGGCAGTTACTTAGGGCACAGGACAGAAGTGGTGGCCTACCCTACCTAGCCCTGTTCAATTCTTTATAGATCAACCGGATGGATTATGCGGAAATCAACGTTGACCACAAATTTCACCGACACCTCATTGGCAAGAATGGAGCTAACAGTAAGTGGGGTGCCTTTCCAATCCTTCCTACGCTTGGAGTCTCCATGTTGAGTAGGCCATATCAGGGACTCTGTAACTCATCCAGTGTGCTATCTCCATCACATTTCCTCTGCTCTTCTGAAGTGGTGTTGGCACAAGGAGGTAAATGGGCAGTGAGGCCTTGGGGTGACCTTAATGGGTGAAAGTGTCTTGGGATGTTGAATACTGGTGGGATTACTTTGCCATATCTTGGAGGAATTTTTTATTTTTTTTATGTTTTTGGAGGGGTTTTTTTTGTAGAATGGTCTTTATTTTTTTTGAAGTTACTCTACATGAATTGCATTTTAGCAGCCTGTTGGGGGTGGTAGAAATCTGCTTGGTGAGTTTCTTCCCAAAAAAGAATTTGGGATTAGAAATGAATTATCATCTTCTGATCTAAATATGGGGAGATAACCAATGCCTCACTCTGGCAAGTGAACAATTAACTCTGTAGATACGACAGTGTTTACTTGTACAGGTTCTTGTGTGGCACAGATCTGCTCTCACTGAACTCCAGGTTGAAGAGGCACTTTTCCCTATTTCAGCCCCACCCCACAAGGCCCCTTCTCAGAGGCTGGTTTATTTATTAAACAGCCTCTAAGCAGTTATAGTCGAGGTGCCTAGCTTCAAAGTCTTGGCCTAGCAGACCATGTCACCACAGTCCTTGCCTTGAAGTTAACAGGATTAAGGACCTCTACAAGGTGTCTGTGCGCATTCCCCCGGACAATGAGAAGAGCAACCTGATCAGAATTGAAGGAGACCCACAGGGGGTCCAACAGGCCAAGAAAGAGCTGCTGGAACTCGCTTCCCGTATGGTGAGTAGGATGTGACGCAGGGTTTGGGTTCTTAATATTCCCTCATAACCTTCTGGTGCAAGTGTGTGCCCTTTGCCTGCCAAGCACTTGGGTTTCATGGCAAGTGTGAGTTCCTCTTCAGAGATGTGTTCCTCTATTCCCTTGAATACCCCTTCTCTGTCAACCTAGAGTGAATTTTGTCCGGAGGAGAAAATGGGGGCAATGCTGGCAAGTAAACTGTCAGGCAGCAAACCGGTAAATAAAAGTATGTGGCTCTCCTGCTGAACACTCAATATAAGCTCTTTTCTCATCAGGAAAATGAACGCACCAAGGACCTAATCATTGAGCAGAAATTCCACCGGACCATCATTGGGCAGAAGGGCGAGCGGATCCGGGAAATCCGGGAGAAATTCCCAGAGGTTAGGCTTTCTAGGAGATAAAGAATCCAGAGGGGATATATCTCACTTGGGTGTTAGGCACATCATCACTGAAGTCATCAATGTAGTGGTTCCATACCTAATATGTATGAGAAGATAGTTCCTTTGTCCAGAGGCTGCTAACATGGGACAGAGGATATATAAGATCCCCCCAACCTTTGCGTGTGTCTGACACATCGATTCTTGAATTTGCTTGAGTTGACTGTAAATGACCACCTCTTGCAGGTTATCATCAACTTCCCAGACCCTGCGCACAAGAGTGACATCGTCCAACTAAGAGGTCCCAAAAATGAGGTGGAGAAGTGCACCAAGTACATGCAAAAGATGGTGGCAGACCTGGTAAGGAGGACTTCTGTTTGCTGTTCTCTCTTACATGCCTGGTAACCCTGGAATAAAGCCAAGCTGTATTGGCTTGGCTAGGGCTGAAACACCTCAAGGTGAGGGAGCTGTGGACACTGTTCTGACTGGATGAGGACAGGAGGGTGATAGCTGTTATTTAAGGGCTATAGGGTAAGGTACTTCCCTTTGCTTGTTTTTGTAAGCGTGTCACATAGTGAATTTCCTTGGATCTAAGCCTATTGTCAAAAGTTTGTTTATCAAGATTCTGGGATGGCGCCTCGATGCCAAGACAGTATAATCTTCAGTTCTCCCTTCCTTCCTCCAATAGGTTGAAAACAGCTTTTCAATTTCTGTCCCCATCTTCAAACAGTTCCATAAGAACATCATAGGGAAAGGAGGTGCCAACATCAAGAAGGTAAGATATCTTTCCCATTGCCAGGGTTCAGTATGGACACTGCCTGCAGCTGAATCCCACTCGCTGCTCTCTCCTGCTCATTGGTGATGTGAAATATAATCTCCAAGGGCTTTTTTTTTTGTGACACGGGACACCTCTGAGATGACTGGTTTTTTTCCTTTGTGGCAGATTCGTGAAGAAAGCAACACCAAAATTGATCTCCCAGCAGAGAACAGCAACTCGGAGACAATTGTTATCACAGGCAAGAGAGCAAACTGTGAGGCTGCTCGCCACAGAATTCTTGCCATCCAGAAGGAGCTGGTAAGTGAAATGACTGTCCTGTTGCGGATGAGGACCTTGAAAATGTTGCTAGAAGACATAAATACAGAAGAAGTGCTTGGGGAGGGTGGGGCAGGGAGGGCAAGGAGGAGACAAACATAAGTGTCAGTCTGTTCATGACTCTTAAACCTAAGTTTGTGGCTGCTCTTGTGTCAGGGGTAGCCAGTCTCAAACCAATCTGATCAGGCATTTCTTACACACGCCTCTATAAAGTTCCTAGCGGTCTGGGAGTTGGAGAGTAAACAGAATAGGTGCAAACACACATCTGCAGCTTGACTAACAGCCTGGAACTGTCCTGTCTTAGGCCAACATCACAGAGGTGGAGGTGTCTATTCCTTCCAAACTGCACAATTCCCTCATTGGCGCCAAAGGCCGCTTCATCCGCTCCATCATGGAGGAATGTGGTGGAGTCCACATTCACTTCCCCACTGAGGGCTCTGGCAGTGACACCGTGACCATCAGGGGCCCAGCCCAAGATGTGGAGAAAGCCAAGAAACAGCTGATGCACCTGGCAGAGGAGAAGGTGAGCCTTGTCTCATAGGGGAGGTAGCACATTGCTTTGGCCAGCTGTTTTGGGGCTTGAAGTGATCCCCTCTGCCTGCTGGGAAGCCTTTGGCATCAAGACAGCCTAATACTCTTTTGATGGATTTGAGCACATTTTGGGTGATTAAAAGAAAACTAAGCTTCTATCCTTATGACAATTGAGTTCTTCCTCCGTGGATAGACAAACTGCCTGTAAATGCTTCTTTGCCCAAGGCTCCCTGCTGTTGTGGTTTGAATCCTGTTGGGTATCCACAGTTCTCCGAAACAGCTAACTCTGCATATCTCCTTTACTTTTTCCTTGATTTCTGAATTCCAGCTCCGGTTCTTCCACTTCACTGCATATATCTAGATTTGAGAACTTTGGGTTACAAGACCTTGCCCTGAGTTGTAGCTGACTGACTGACTGGTCATTTTAATAGCAAGGAAAAAAATGTAAAAATGGTCATTCTAATATCAGCATGTGAACATGTTCTCCTGATCAGTTGGTTCTCTCTACTGCCTGGCTTGCAGCAGTCAGCAAATAGTTATTCTGCCTTGTGTGAGTGTCAGGGCTTTCTCCTAGGGAAGTCTTTTCTGCTTGTATTCTCACCAGTCATGCTGAGTTTCAGCCCTAAGAACATCTTTCAGGTAGTGTTTTTAATTTTAGTACATTGTATATTTTTTTTGACTTCTACAGCACACTGCATCTACCTTGCTTTTGCAACACTCTGTATGTGGGTGCAGGTAACATACCTACATGCTTACTGTGGATGCTGATATGTATTTTTTATATATTGACATGTTCCATGGGTATCTGACTTCTTTCAGCAAACAAAGAGTTACACCGTGGACCTCCGTGCAAAGCCAGAGTACCACAAATTCCTTATTGGTAAGGGTGGTGGCAACATCCGTAAGGTGCGGGACAACACTGGAGCCCGCATCATCTTCCCAACCTCTGAGGACAAAGATCAGGAGCTGATAACTATCATGGGAACTGAGGAGGCTGTCAAAGAGGCGCAGAAGGAGTTGGAGGCCCTCATCAAGAACCTGGTATGAAATACTTTTTCTACTTTCTTGTCTATCACCGTAGCAAGATGTAATGAGTCAGCACGGAGGACTGTTTGTCCTAAAACCATCTGCTGCCCTTCATGGGAGCTCAGGAAGAAGATCCTCCTTGCTGACACTTGTTGGGGTGAGGTTGTAAACTGATTGATGTTGAGTGCAGAAAACTAGTGCTTGTCACCAGGACAGGCGGGATTGACTGGCTGTCACCTGTTGGCAGGATAATGTGGTTGAAGACTCCATGGTGGTTGACCCCAAGCACCACCGCCACTTTGTCATACGGAGAGGGCAAGTTCTGCGTGAGATTGCAGATGAGTATGGTGGTGTGATGGTCAGCTTCCCGCGCTCTGGTACCCAGAGTGACAAAGTTACCCTCAAGGGAGCTAAGGACTGTGTGGAGGCAGCCAAGAAACGCATCCAAGAGATCATTGAGGACCTGGTATGTAACAGGGAAACTGTTTCTTCTACACTTTGTTGCTTCAGCAGTGCTGTCCTTGAGCCTGCTTTATGTGAACAAGTCCCACAGTAGTTCTGGGATCTGAAGCTTTCCTGTCAACATATAGGGTCTGCAGACTATAGATCCCAGCCTGGGGAACGGCAGCTGGCTCCAAAATGGCAATGCTATAGGAAGGAATTGCATCCTCTGACCATCTTGGTTTTTAGGAGTGGAAATAGGAGACCCTTCCTTGATGTAGTGCTAGACATTAAAAAATTGGAGCCTTTTTGTGCCTTTCCATGCCTGGTCTTGGGCAGTGGTTGCTCTCTGGGGTTTCCTGTACTGTTAGTATTGGTGTTTGGAAAGACCTAAATGTCAAACCTGTTCTCTTCCCTTCCTTCTTTCTTTATCATTTTCCTTTCTTCTAACACTTCCTCCCTTTCAGGGAGGAAAAAGCTTGAGCTTTGATCTTGGAAGCCTTTAACACCATGGGTTAAAATTGGAGGCAACCTTTATTAAGAAATCTTCTACTAACCTCTCAGAGAGGAAGATTCTAGGAAACTTCCAGTTCTTCCCCCACCCAGCAGCTGTTATCTTTTCTAACTCCTCTCCATGTCCATTATGGATTTCACCATGCACAAGCATCCTGTTTTCTAGTGTGAAAGAGGCTGCATTGCAATAGAGCAACTCTGCTTTCTCACAGGAAGCTCAAGTGACAATCGAATGCACCATCCCGCAAAAGTTCCACCGCTCCATCATGGGCCCCAAGGGATCCCGAATCCAGCAGATCACCCGGGACTATGGTGTCCAGATCAAATTCCCTGACAGGGAGGAGAATCCAGGTACACCCATGGATGCATGTTCGTGTGGTAGTTGGGGTGATGAAATGAGTGTAGTGTAGTGTAGCCTGCGCTCTGTATCAGTGAAGATGTTCTACTTAAAATCTGTGGATAACTGACCTCAGGTGTTTCCTGCAGTATCCTTGAGTCTGAGATTAACATCAGTCTATGCCCTCTTGGGAAGAAGGGATGGTTTTAGGAGGTAAATCCCCAGACCTGGATGTTCTGAATGTGTTCTCACCCTAGAGTGCAGGGAGTACGAGGACCTACCCCAGCAAAAAGGGCTTTACAGGCTTACCAAGGTCTATCTGAGCATTTATGCTCTGGTTACTGAATTCAGACAGCTGGGGCCTGTTTGGTACTCAGGCCTAGCACCAGCCACCCTGCTGTAACATCCAGTGCTGTGCTGGTGAACTTCCCTGTTGCGGAAGGAACTGCCAGCCTTACTTGTTGCCTCTGCTAACATAGCAGTGCAGCCTCTGCAGGTCCTTTCTGCGCAGGCAAAGGCAGTATCAAGTGCTGTGCAGAGAAGTGTGGAGCAGACTGTCTCTGTGGATGTTCTTGTTCTTTCTGCTCATTCCATGCTAAGCCGTGGCAAGCTGCCTCTGCTAGGAGTGACCTCCTCCATAGCAGTCTGTAGTGTCTGATCTCTTGTGGCAAAGCCCAGGCTGAGCCTGAGGATCCAGAGGGGGAGATAGCAAGGGGGCTCTGTGCATTTAACATGAGACTTTCCATGTTTCCAGCCCCTGTTGCAGAACCAGCTGTGCAGGAGAATGGCGAGGAAGGTGGGGAAGGCAAGGATGGGAAGGATGCAGATCCCAGCTCTCCAAAGAAGTGCGATATCATCATCATCTCTGGCCGCAGGGAGAAGTGTGAGGCAGCAAAGGAGGCACTGCAGGTATATAGCTTTCTAAGCCCCTTAGCCCTATAATGTGGTGAAGCCCTGATGCCAGAAGCTCACCACAGGCTTTCATGGTGGTAACAAAAACTACTCAGTCAAGGTTGCTCTCCAGGAGGTGGTCACTGATGCTAACTGCAGAGGCAGCCTGTACTTCTCAAGGGAAGTCCTCTCTCTGTGATTTAGCCTGGCAGCTTCATAGTGCCTGACGTCACAGTTGCTAGAGCTTGTAAGGAGCCCCAAGTTACTTGCCATAAAAGCACTACATGCTTGTTTTATGGAGCACAGCGGGAAAGAGGAGGAGTCTGATTGAGACTGAATTATTCTAGCTGTAGCACACCTTGCCACGCTCCTTTAGTGTACTTTTTCCAAGTCTCTGCTAGATGGCTTGTCCCCAGAGGTTTAAGATGGCTTGTTTGAAAAGAATGCTTTAGCACCCAACAGGTCATCTTGGTGTTCATGCCTGTTCTCTCTTCCTGTAGAGTTTGTATCCTGGCTACAAGGGAATTTATCTCAGTTCAGCAACACATTCTTTTGGGCAAGTATATGGAAGTTGGAATACAGGAGAAGTTTTCCAACTGGTAAATTGTGCTCCCTCCCCCGCAGGCTCTGGTTCCCGTCACCATTGAGGTGGAAGTTCCCTTTGATCTTCACCGTTACATCATTGGCCAGAAAGGAACTGGGATCCGCAAAATGATGGATGAGTTTGAAGTAAGTTGTTGCCCTCCTTTCCATCTCCTCTGTCCTGGAGAATCTGTAAGTTACCATGTTTGTGGTGGTGGCAATCAGTTGCGACATACTCAGAGCTGTCGTGACTTGACTGTGGAATATAAGCTCTGTAATAAGAAAATGAGACCTGTGTGATTTAGTAGGTTTCATGCTGAAGCTGCGTGATCAGTGTTAATGCTATGAGTGTTGTGTGACTTCCTTGGTGCCTGGAGGGATTCCTCACCAGGGTGAGAGTTGTTTTCGTCCTAGGCCATGGGAAGCTGCTGTGCCTGCCCATTCCAGAGAATTCCCCAGAAGCCCACAGGGACTCTTGGGACTGATGCAGGTTGGCTGCAAACAGTACTATTGAACATGTATTTATTTCCTAGCCTTTCCAGGCTGGCACAGGGCCTGCTGGGGGCTGAAGCCCTACACCAAACAATCTGATAATGGCTGAAGAACCAGGGTTCTATTCAAAACCATCTAGACACAGTCCCAGGCTGGGTTGGACCAGATGACTTGCAGAGGTCCCTTCCAGCCATAACCAGTCTGTGATTCTGTGGTTCAGGCTGTCTGAGTGGAAGCTACTCTTGGCGGCCAGGGAAATCAGGGAGAGCCAACCTGCAGTGATAGGCATCACAAGTGATAGAAACCCAGCAGTGATACAAAACGATAATTGGTATTTGTTACTCAGGTGAACATCCAGGTACCTGCTCCTGAACTGCAGTCAGATATCATCACCATTACTGGGCTGGCTACCAACCTGGACCGTGCCAAAGCTGGGCTGCTGGAAAGAGTGAAGGAGCTACAAGCTGAACAAGAGGATCGGGTAAGGCCTATGCCTGTCCTTCCTTCCAGCCAAATGAGGCTTCAGCCTTTGGGTGTTCCTTTCAAAAGTTATGCAGACTCCTGGAACCCCTCACCTTTTAAGAGCACCCTTAGGTGCTCTGCAGGTGTGGAGTGCTTATAGGTGGATTACACAAATGTAACTTGTTTAACATGAACTGACAGAGAGTTTTGAGATTCTGCTTTAGGTAACTTTGGACTGTCCAGGGTTCCGTCACACCTTCATGTACCTTCAAGACACTGTAGGGTGGCAACCTCATTGTGCTAGGAGTCTCTCTGTAACTATTCTCATTGAATCCTCATCACAGCTCTGAGTAAATAGGTGAGGAATGAGTTGGATGGTTGTTCGCTACTTGTGATTTCCTGCTGAACTTGGCGAGAGCACAAGGCCCCAACAGATGGATGTCTTGGGTGCTTTTCTGTAGCCATGTACACTCAAACATGACCCTGCAGAATCTGTTCCCATCTCAGAAGGCAGAGGGAAACACTGGGACTTAGATGGACATCACTGGACCAGCCATAGTGTGTTGCCTGCTGTTGTATCTCACTCTGCTTCTCCTGCTGCAGGCCTTGCGAAGCTTCAAGCTGACAGTCACTGTGGATCCCAAGTATCACCCTAAAATCATTGGACGGAAGGGAGCAGTGATCACGCAGATACGCACAGAGCATGAGGTCAACATCCAGTTCCCCGACAAGGATGATGAAAGCCAGGTAAGAGGTCAGAGGGGGTGCAAAGAGGGCTGCTGGTTGTCTCTGAGCATAGGAAGCACAGCATCTTCTCTAGGGCTCTGAACTTCCTATGCTGCCTTCAGATAAGGTGGAAGGTAAAAGGAATTAGCAGAGAGAAGGCTTGCTCAGCTGCTTCTGAGTCTGGTCTCTCACACATTTCCCCATACCCCAGGCCCAGGACCAGATCACCATCACTGGCTATGAGAAGAATGCTGAGGCGGCCCGGGATGCCATCATGAAGATCGTCAGTGAGCTGGAGCAGATGGTCTCTGAGGATGTGACTCTGGACCATCGTGTTCATGCACGCATCATTGGTGCACGTGGTAAAGCCATCCGCAAAATCATGGATGAGTTCAAGGTGAGTGGTGGGGTGATGCAGCACGGGCCTGGGTGGCCAATGGTGTTGCTTGCTCTTGTGCTAAGAGCTTGGTGGCAGCTTGGTGCTAGGGGCTGAATTCAGGAGCCTGAAGCTGACATCGTGTGGTCCTTGTGTCTTGTTCCTGTTGAGTGCCTTCAGCTGGAACAGGTGCAAAAGAAAAGCCAGTGCTGTCCTGCTCACCTCCAACTCTGTCACCACAAGCATGTGAGCAGGATCCCTGGGCCAGGGCAGCTGGGCACCACACCCAGACACCAGCTGAAGCATCCCTACACAACCTCAGCTGTGAGTCATCCTTCTGGGAGCTAGGTGGGGAGGAGGCTGAGCTCTTCCTCTCTTGTTGTAACACAGCCAGAAGAGGAACCTGGAAATGCTTCCTTGCTGCTCTGGCTTAGCCCTGCAAACAGCACTGAGCTCTGTCCCTCTGTGCAGCCTGTTTAGTGGGTTTCTTGCAGCCAGGGTCCTGGATGGTCTTCAGAGGGAGGAGGTGGTTATGTCCACTACTCTGATTTCTGGAAGCAGACAGCGAGGTCTGTTGCTGGGGGACTGTGCCCTGACCCCTTCAGCTTGAGTTTAATTCAAGGAAATCCTATGGATTTCTTTGTCTCTGTAGGCCGCTGTTGATTCACTTGACTTTGGGAATCTTGGCACACTGTCAGGGCTTCAGATTTGGTAAAGTCAGCTGACTTTGGGAAAGGCTTTGCCTTTGCCACTGATGGTGCTTTACTACAGGGGCAGTAGTGAATGTGAATCCAGAGTGATGAGACTTTGGAGACTTGGATCTCAGCTGGGCTTAGTTGTTGAAAACAGCTATTGAAACAAGTTCCCAACAGAGCAGCCTTTAGTTTTGGTCCCGTCTTGTGTGGCTTCCCTGCACTCATCTGGAAGGCAAGCTCAGTGGCTGTGTGTGGGGTATACTAAGCCAGCTCCAGAAAGTGACAGTCAGCCAGGATTACCTATCTGTGAAGGAGACAGAAAGCTTATTGTGTGTCATGCTAATGGCTTGATGGTGAAAATGCAGCAGTGTGAGGACATTGTCTGGAAATGCAGCCATCTTCTGCTGCTGCTGCAAGGGCTGCACAGAAATCAGCGGGCCTCTGGGCAGTGAGAACAGCAGGGGTTGCTGGAAGGTAGGTTGTTACTGCAGACCCTGTTCTGCCTTCCTTCACGGTAAACCGGACAGGCTTTGGGGCCAGATCCGTTCCAGTGCACACCCTCCAGCATCAGAACTGCTGAATCAGAGGTGCTAAATAGACTTGCAGCAGTAAACAGTAAACAACAGGGCTTTTCTCTTCTGTGAATCTAATGACGAGGGTTATGGAGAGTCTGTGGCTTTTCAGATGTGCAGATGTAAGTCCTGTCCTGTTCCTTGTGTTGCAGGTGGATATTCGCTTTCCCCAGAGTGGAGCTCCTGACCCCAATTGTGTGACTGTGACAGGACTCCCTGAGAATGTGGAAGAAGCTATTGATCACATCCTGAACTTGGAGGAGGAATATGTAAGTGTTCGGCTAATCTCCGCAAGGGCTTGGTAAGGATTTTCTCTGCCACAGAGCTGGATGTCTGGAGTATCTCCATGTGGTATTTTCTACCACTGAATCAGAGAACTTGAGCCCTGTGTGTGTGGCGGTCAGTCCCTATGTGCAACTGTCCCTCAGACCAACTGGGTGCAGAGCTGTGCAAGGACTGGCCCCACTGTGCAGGAGAGGACAGTGAATAAGCATGCTGGGCACCACCAGGGTGTGCACATGCTTGCCTTGCTGCAGTTAGTTAGGAGCTGCTGCATCAGTTAGGAGTTTGTGGCCCTCAGACTAGTGCAGAAACACTGTGTTTGGTCATTGTAGAACAGGCTGGTGACCTTGGATGGGTTGCAGCATGGTGAGATGGTGGGAGGGAGGTGTGTTATACCAGTTTGAGGAACTATCATGATCCCCTCCTAACTGGGCTGTGTCACTACAGCTTGCAGATGTGGTGGACAACGAGGCAATGCAGGTGTATATGAAGCCCTCTTCACATGAAGAGTCCAAGGCCCCATCCAAGGGCTTTGTGGTGAGAGATGCCCCTTGGGCCACTGTCAACAATGAAAAGGTGAGTGCTGCTTCTGCTGTGGGCCTGAGGGCACAGGGCATGTGGCACCCTCTGCCAAAGACTTACTCTGAGGTCTGGCCCTCCTTCCTTGGCTGGGGAAACGGAGCACTCTCCCTCCATTGGTGGCAGAGAAAGCAGTGAAGGGCCCTCCTGCTCCTTGTGGCTCGTGCAAGCTGAGAGCAGGCCTGGGCCCTGCCTCTCCAGCTTCCAAAACACTGCTGTCTCTTTCTTCCAAGCATCTTGTCCACACTGAGAAACCCACTGTGGAGCTGTTGGGGAATGGGGGACCCTTACAAGAAAGTGTCCTGCCAGGTCCTTTGGTTTTAGAGTTAGGGATGAGGGTCCTAGGATTCCTGAGTGCAGAACCCCCTTGATGTATTGTGCTGTGTTCTGGCTGGGAGTGGTGAGCTGGGACATGGGACAGCTCTGTCCTCAGCTGCCTCAACGCTGCTGCAGGACTGGCCTGACTCCACTCCAGTGACCACATTACTGAGGCTGGACCCTTTATCCACCTGCCATTTGCTTCTATCTGCACCCTCCTACACATCCTCTCTAGATGGCTTGACTGTCCACCCTGGCAGTCCTAAGGACATAATGATCCTTCTTGGCCTTTGCCCATTGTCTCTGCTCATGGAACATCAGAAATGCTGCTTAGCTCAGGGGTGCACCATGGAGACTCACAGCAGGGCAGGAGCTTAACTGGTTCCCTTTTTCTTTGCTCTAGGCCCCTGATATGAGCAGTTCTGAAGACTTCCCCAGCTTTGGGGCTCAAGTGGCCCCCAAGACTCTTCCCTGGGGACCCAAACGATAATGACCTGGAAGCAGAAACTCCTCCAGCCCGCTGACCTGACACTAACCTGCCACAAATATTTCCTGTCTGAAATCTGACCCAGCGGCTGGAGCACAAGTCAATTGCCCCAAGAGGTCTCCTAATGGTGTCTGGAGTGCTAGACCCCATCTTGCTCCCCTCAGCTATCACCGTGGCTAGGACCCACCCTCATCTCTTGATGGATATTATTTTCTCCTTTGGAACAAGACTTCTCAGATTCAAACACTAAATGTGTGTGTTTTTGTTAGAAACTTCATAATTGACTCAAAGTGGCTAAGATTTGCAGCTTCCCAAGCGCTAGCAGAGCAATCTGCTCTCTTGAGCATGTCTTACTAGGCATTCTCGCCTTCATTAGGAGACCTCCTTTACTGTGGCTAGGAATCTACTTCCTGTCTCATGACCTCAGGAAATAAATTTCCTTGACTTTCTAAAGCCAAAACGTTTGCCCTCTTTCCTTTGTGTTTATCCCAGGCCTTACCTTACCTTTGTAGAGTGCAATCAACTTTTTTCCTTTTAACTGCCAAAAATTCATTTAATGCTGATAGCTGACTGTGGGGAGAGCTTAAAAATAATCTAAAAGGTCAGAAACTTGCTTTTTAAAGGAACAAAACTTTCAATAGGCTGTAGAGGCAGCAGAGATGGCAGGGACTAGACCAAGGTGTGGCTGCCCTGGTCAGGTGGACACCTCCGAGTGCCCCCGTGCCACGCCGGGCCCAGCCCAGCCTGCGCGCTCCATGAGCCCTCCAGCCTGTGAATACAGACCAGGCTTCTAGTTCCCTGCGTGCCCTCCTTCCCCCTTCCCCACAGCTGGCATTGTGAGCAGGCAGGCGAGCCAGCACCTGGCAATATTACCGGATGGGACAGATTTGGGTCGGGCAAGGTTGCTGCGGTGGCGTGGCCCAGGAGAAGCTGGTGGGAAGCACAGCCTTCAGGAGCTGTAGTCCTCTGCTGGGGCTGCAGCATCTAGGCATGAGCGGTAGGGACACCTATTACTATTGCCTTCTTTCTACCTCACAAGTCAGTATGATGGTGGCCTCTTAGTGTAAGTGGGTAAGCAGCTGTTCCAGCTCTTGCCCTGGCACCCAGAGCAGAAGCATGGAGAAGCGAGAGGAGCCTTTTGCCTCTAAGTGGCTGCAGGAGCTTCTCCAGAGGGAAGCTGAGCGCGGTGACAATGAGGCATGCTGTGAATCAGAACCGTAGGACTGCTGGCTGAGCTAGAACAGGGCTCTGCCCCGTGGCCGTAGCGCCGCCATGCTGCAGCCCTCGACTGCAGAGGCTGTGAGCCAGGCTTCTGCTCTGATGGGGGGCTGGCAGGGTGGTGCATTGAGCCCTCCCCGAGGCCTCCGTTGTATGGGCGGTAGAGGGTGATCCATGCTCTGTACACCGGGCCACTTGCACCTAGGCCCTGCCGCGGCTTGCTCCAAGGGGGCTGGATCCAAGCTCATCCTCCCAGCAGTAAGAGGAAAAACCTCATCTTTGTGGAGGGAGGCAGGGAGCCTGGAGTTTCTGTGTTCCCTCCTTCCCCTGCCTCAGTCCTACAGAGGTTGTAGTCTGAGCCATTCCTCTGTCCCAGCTGCTTCAGCTCTCAGACAAGCAGGAGTCCCTAAGCCTCTCTTCTCTGGCACTGCTTATGGAGCAAAGGCGCAAAACTCTGGCGAGCTGAGCCCAGCGTTTTTGCCTTTCCTTCTGCCCGGCAGGCCTGCCATGCCCATGCTGCTCCTTCCCTGGCCAGCTCCTCTTGGAAGAGGCTGCTATGCAGAAGTTGACCCAAAACCTCACAGTGCTCTCCTTAAGTTTGAGAACTGACTGAAGCTGACCATGGCCTGTTGCAGGACACCTGGCTGTCCCTGAAGGACAGGGTGGCCTTGCCTCCAACACAGGAGAGAGGGTGGGTCAGACAGAACTAGGGTGACACCCTCCCATCTGCGTCTGTCCAAAAATGGTTATTACCCTGTAGCTTAGGTCACTAAGCCTATTGACCCCCTCTTCCTCTTATGCCCCCCGCCCCCC